CTGTTGAAACCCCCAACTTACAGAGGACCACATCAAAGGGAAACACATACAAATAATTGGGTGGATGAAGATATAAGATGAGCGTGTGGCTGGATGATTGGACAGATGATGGAGGACTGGACAGATGAATTGCAGGGTATTATTAATGAGTGGGCTAAATGCCACAAGAAACCAAGTGGCCAGTTTCATGAACAGTCAGGGGGCGTTTAGTGCCTCTTCCTAACTTCCCTTTTTTCACTCTGACCTTCTCTTTGTGCTTTGGTCCCAGAGGAGCTGTTCATCTCTCCCTTACCTCTCTCCTAATTGACTGTACCCCCTACTATCTCAACACTATTTTGCTGTGTGAGCTCGTGTTCGTCATGTTCATGGCCATTATTGTACTCCTCAAGTGCTCCCAGTGCTGAGTTAAACTTCAACCCCACACCATCTCAGTAACAGAGACAGATGACAAAAGGAAACATAATACAGCTATTAAAACACACTCAGATGTAACCAGACACTACATCAAAACTCTTCCAGACCTTATCACCCTCCTCGTGTGCCTCCTTATATATGAGCTAACGTGCTAAATGAACACGTGGCCTGCAGGAAGAAAGATAAGCTCAGTAAAAGAATTCAAACGTACGGCACACTGGAAAGGAATCAATGTACAATTTAAATTAAGTACTGTTTCGCTTTTGAAATAAATACTATTTGATTGTTTGTAGCTTATCAAAAAGACACTGCTGTTTAGTTTTGGCTTAATTTTACTGTCGTCTTTTTATTTTGTAATTATTTTAGTTCTAGTTGTACGTCATATGCTTCAGAGTGAAGGACAGTATACTGTTTGGGCAGTCTGTGCTGGTGTTTTAGACTGCAGGTGCTGCAGTACTCAGTCTGTATGCTACAGATTACAATTGTAACCTTAAAGTTCAACTCTTATATGCAACGGACGTTTAAGGAACACTGCTACAGCTTCCCAAAGTTATACTGGTTGGGGTCTTTACTAATTGTGTTTTATTTACCCAAAGAGAATTGAGAGAGATGTTTACTGGAGCCTTGTTATGTTTTCATTGGCTGTTGAAGCAGCATTGATCGGTTCAGTCTCACTGTCGACTGAGGTTTGAAGTACAGTTGGACTCTGTAAGAACATGGGTATGTCAGTCAGTTAAGATCCAACAAACTTGAATGGATTCACTCCATTATTTAATTGTTTAACGGACTGTATTTAAAATCATTACATTTTGTTTGTTTTCACATTGAAATGTGTTTTGTCTTAAATTTGTCTTTTGAAAGTTAACATGGACATGTTGTTGACATCTAGTGTCATATCTTTCAGTCTCTGTAAAGCAGGATATATTTGTCTATGGTTACCTTTCTTCACACTGAAGATTATTGTAGCTGTCTAATATTACTAATCTTAATATTTCGACATCAGATCTTGTAAATTAGTAGTTGGGGGAGTGGGATAACACTAATGACTCATCACTCGTTTCATCTCCTTTACCGGAAACGGTGTCTTAGCATAACGGTAGTAAACAATCATCAGTTGTTGACAATTAATGAAGAGAAGGTAATACCACGGAATATCGGCATGGTACTACGTATGTAATGTTGAATTTTTATGCATCACTGTATTTATTATGTTCACTGTATGTGTTGAGCATATTTGTACGCTGAAACTTCTGCTTTGTGCAAATTACTCAGTTTGACTATAGCGTATTTTGCAGATGATACACTAACAGGAAATTGATATCCTCCAAAAACTGTCTCTAAACTAACTGATAGAAAGTGGTTTAGTTTCTCAGTGTCACATGAAGATAATCCGGTGTGATGAATGTTCTACCATGCTGAACTGAACTCACGATCAGTTACTGGGTTCGTCCTCCAGCTTCTTGTCTCCTCTGTATTTGCATGGCAGGCAGCGATCCAAAGTATACGTGCAGATACGTGTGAACGCACTGATGCTCTACTCTTGGCCTTCTGCACGCCAGTGCGCATGGACTGGCATAACGCCATGCTCACAGTTGTTGATTTGAATTTTGAAACTGGCTGAACCAGAATCTGAAAGTTGGGTTTCCTTTTATGCTGCACTCTGAAGGACAATTATGAAAGAAAGTGATTTTTTTTTTTTAATGAAAAACAAATATCAAAAATTGATTCTATGGTTTGTTTGGCTTGTGTGTTCTGAACTCGTATGTGTCAGTGTCAAATGAGTGTATTTTATTCTGGCTGCAAGAGTTGCTCAGTAAGACCTTGGCCTCACTTTAAAATTGCAGTTTCATTGGTCAGCTCCTGGTCTAATAGACCGTCACACAGCAATATTAACAAAATGTGACTCCTCTTTTCCAAACCTGCCCCTTTGAAATTCCTAACCCCAACACCAAAATGAATGGCAATAGGATGTTTTTGTTCCGTAGTTGTGAAATCTCCAGTAAACTGAGAAAAAAACGTGACAAACATTTAAAGTCACTCTTACTAGCAGTCTTTAGATTGTTGCCGAGAGAGAACCAAGATTTATAAAATGAGATATTTTATTTGTGTACAATCAATATTTTCTAGGCTGAGCTGGTGTATTGTACTGTATGAATGATTGCACATAATGGTATTTAAGATGATAAATGAAGTCATGTCATGGATTGATGTGATACTCCTGCCTTCATTCCTCACTCAGACCTGAAATGTCCCACCCCACCCTGAGGGAACAAAATTAAAAGTACACATTTTCAAATGCTCTGCATGTTTTTCTGTTTGCTCTTTCATCTTATTTATATTGCATTGTTGCTCAGTGGGCTTTCTGTTGGATGCAGTCAGAGGCAACCATCTGGATTCAGTCAAATAAAACTTAAATGTAGTGATTGCAGTTGTACACAGGTATTCAAAGGTCCAGTGTGTAGGATTGCGGGGCATTCATTGGCAGAAATGGTGTATGATATTCATAACTATATTTGCATTAGTTTATATGCGTTTTTCTGAACATTAGAATGAGCTGTTTATATCTACATATGAAGCAGGTCCTCTACCACAGAATCTGCCATGTTGTCTCTAAAGTAGCCCAGAACAGACAGCTCAGAGGTAGAGTGAGTCACCCACCAATCAGAAGACCTGAGAGATCCCTGGCTCCTCCAGTCTGCATGTATCCTCGGGTAAGAAACTGAACCCCAAATTGCTCCTGTTTGCTGTTCATCGGTGTGTGACAGCATGTGAATGGTTACTGTGAATTGTTACTTGTATGGTAGCCTCGGCCACCAGAGTGTGAATGTGTGTGCCAATGGGTGAATAAGAGTGGTCAGAGGACTAGAAAGACGCTATACAAGTGCAATCCATTTACCATTTATGAATCAAACACTGGCCCTAGACGGCGCCATTCACGTTTTCATGTCAGCCACCATAATAGACCTTTTCACAGCAGCAATATTTTGACTTGTAGTAGGAAAAGCACAGGTTAAAGTGATAATCTTAACGATGACTCAGCTCCATAAAGTGTCCCAGTGAGCTTCTCCAGTGAGTCAGCATGTACATCACCAGGGTCTCTCTAGCAGCCATATTACATCATATTAAATACACCTATGCTTTTCCCATGTCTGCTGTAAAAAATAAAAAAGTCTCCAGATGCTTGGCACACAGGAGACATGTCAGTTCTGCAACCTCACCACTAGATGCCACTAAAGTCTACACACTGGACCTTTAAGAAGTCATCTTGATTAGTCATCTGTGTCATTAAATCCTCCTATTTGATTATTGATACAACCAGGGGAAAAGCTCCATCTCCAATAGTGATACATTGTAAATCAGCTCTCCTCAGACACCTCAGGACCAGCAGTCATTTTTTCCACACACAAAGTGCACCACTTGCATTTTTTTTTCTTATTATTCTCAAATTTAGCAGCATTTGTTTCTTCAGATTGCAGATGTGTTCTTAAATTTTACATTCATCAGTATCCTCCTGAGACCCTGCACATTTCAGGTTTTCTGCACTATATAATTCAGTTTGTGGACACTTTCTTTCGAGCTAGTAGTAGAAAGAACACAATACACTAATACATGTAAAAACAAGATGGCAGCCATCTCTGCTAGGTCACTCTGCAGCTGATCGTGACACAAAAGAGTTAAAAACCTGATCACATTCTATTGAAACTCATTTGTTTGTTTCATGTTTGTAGTTTGATATTGCATACTGTTGATTAGGAAGTATTTGTTTTAGGATATTGGGATTTTATTATCATTTCATCTGTGGACATTAGGACTTGATTGTTGCAGCATTTCACACAGGCCAGCTGGGTGTGACAGACTGTTCCTCCAGACAAAAAGGACATTCCTAGCTTGGATTATGGAGCAAGGAAAATTCATATGGAGTTACAAAATGAACACCAGTCAAGTTTTTGCACAGCCATGTTCAGGTACTTAAATGAACAGTTATGAACAGTTTTAGACTTGAACAGTGTCCTCTAACCCTTAGTTACAAAACACTTAACAAATGTTGCAATGTTTGTAATTTAATTTAAATTAAGTTTTATACTTTATTGCTCACTTGTGGCTATTCAAAATGAACCGAATTTCCCCATATGAGTGCATCATTTAGTTCAAAAACGACTTTATGTTCAAAGACAATGCTTAGTTTTTCATACTTACCAGATCTTACTAATCCCATATAGCAAGGAGAAATAAAAAATGCATACTAAACAAAAGGGTATATGACAACATAGCTTTCTGCCTTTAAAAAAAATCTATAGCAAAAAACTGATATGGTAGTTTTAGTGTTTTCATATACTCATGATTGTCAGATTTACATGCCTTGTTTGAAGTTTTGAACTACACAACAAAGATCCAGAAGTGCTATAACTATAACTAGCCTAATGGATGAAGTTTTATTTATTTATGTATAATTAATGTTAATATTAAAGAGGTCTGACCCCTGTTCACCAAATAGAAGCGTTTGCCCATCTTTTTAAGGCCTACCTCACCCCCAAAAGGGCGTTTCCATACTTGGAAACTAAATTGAATGTGATTGGTTGAGGCGCGCCCTGCACCTGTGACTGCTGTGTGTGAGACAGACAAACTGAGGTAACCTGCATGAGGGAGCACGAGGCAAGATAGTGAGTGAGGATTTATTTGACAGTTTCACTTTGAGAAGCACGGTGAGTAAAATTCATCTGTAAGGGTGCTTTGGTGAAAATGCAAAGAAATGATACGTTTCATAGTGTATTCTGGAGGATTTGTAAGTTTCTGAGCATGTTCTGTGAGGATGTGAGCCCTTCTCTGTGTGTGAAGAACTGACAGCGAAACTCCGTTAGGAAATTGTCAAATTAATGATGCCCTGTTTATTGAAAATACATAGACGTGTTTTAACAACACTTTCGGGGTCGTTTTTGTCCACTTTTAAATTCGGCATACAAATATTCCACCAAATATGGTATGTTTTTGGACAGTTTTATTTAATTATAGTTAGTTGCCCTGTTATTTTGAACAGCTTCCCTCCTCGGGGATGAGAAGCGGATATGGGGAACAAACGGCGTAAAACAATTTTTTGAAGTAAAATATTCACGTGATTGTATTGTTTGGTGGGTGACATGCATGCCGAATACACCACTGGGTTTTATTAAATCATATTAGGTATAATTTAAGTTATGTGAGCCATTTACCTTTGCTGTGCGGAAGGAAACATTAAAAACCGAGATTTCCCCAGTGGTGTTTGGTGTTACTGAAGAGCCACAGTTAGGGGAGGCCATTATTTATGGTAAAAATGTTATGATATTTTATAGTTCAAGGAAGAGAAGTAGAGGGTAAAGCAATACTGAAAGTGTGTTTCTGTGAGTGAAGAAGTGGTGACTGTTGTTGTTGACAAACTATTGTTCTGTGGCAGCCTTTGAGCAGCCTATAACCATTTCAGGCCACCAAACAAAAAGAGACTTCTGAAGGCTGTTTTTTAATTAGATATTTAAGTTGTTGGACCAGTGCACCTTTTTTGTGTAAAATAATTCAGTACTTATGGATACATATTTCTGTATCTCCTCAGATCTGAGTGGCACACAGCAGGACACTTCCTCCTTCCACCATCGTTGGACCTGAGAGATACAGATGGAGGGAGTGCTGATTTTAAAATCTGCCTCTCCCCCCAGCTGTTCCTCTCACAGCCCTCCTCCTCTTCCACCAGATGCTCAAGAAGGTCCAGATCTCCCATCATCCTTTACTGTACCACCATCACCACCACCTCCTCCCCCTCCTCTTCCCCTGCCCCCTCCTCCTCCTCCTCCTCTTCTTCCTCCCCCTCCTTTTGGCTCTCGTAATGTCCAGCGACGTTCCATGAAAAAGCTCAACTGGGACACAATTCCCAGCCAGCGTGTCCTTGGCAAACTGAATGTCTGGACGTCTAAACGGCCTCAGAGGGACCTTGTGCTGGACATTCGAAGCATGGAGGAGCTTTTCAGTCACGTGGACAAACGGGCCTCGCTGCACAGCTCAAGGGTCGTGGGTCTGAAGACGAGTGATGGTGTGGACTTCTTTCCACAGGTAAATAGCATAACAAGCTGGACATAACTAAGGTTAATTTCCAGTGACTGATGCAGACCATCCTCAGTTTTTATTGGCACGTAAACTCACACAGAATGCACAAGCTAGGGAAGTAATGAACACCCAAACAGGAACTGGTTTTTAAAAGTTCCACGCTAATACTGACATCAATGAGGAACTGCTAAATTAAAACCCACGTTAGGGGGTGTTTTTGCTTCCTCAAAGATTATGTGGAGTACAGTGCTGATTATAGATTTGTCTTCTTGTGCAGATATGGCTCTACAAACAAAACATTTTATTTATTAGTATTGATCATTTTTGTTTCTTTAGGTCACAATCCTCGACTCTAAAAAGAGTATGAATATTGGGATCTTTCTGAGACAATTCAAGAGGTAAGGCTTGTTTAAGCTCTGAATGACAGAATGTGGGTGAGAATGATTGTCTTCGAAAAGAAAAAGAGTATGATTCAGTTAACAAAATACAACCACAACAAGAACTACAGGAGCTTTGACAGGAAGAGCTACAGTAAGCAGTAGTCGGAGCAGGTTGCTTTCATGTCAAACACAGAGCTGGGAAAACAGATCTTGACACTGTGGTCACTTCCACTGTGCTAATCATTACCCAACCAGCAGGCTCTTTATCTGAGCAGATTATATTCAAATACATGGAAATGCCTTGTTAAACGTCATTTGAGAGCATTTAGCAACAACATAGAGAAAAGTTATGACTCACTTTATTGATACTTAAGTGATAGGAGAACATAGTGCTAAACCAAGGTGGTGAGGCTGAGCAGAGAAAAGGGATTGGAAGGATAAACCCAGCAGCCATGTTGGATTACCACTATAGTGCACCAGCATATATCATCCTTTCCATGTAGTTGTCCCCTTATAAAATGCAGTTTCTGGTGTAGCAACAGGGACATGATTGCTTGTTGAGTCCCGGATCATGAGACACTGGGCACCTGGGCACAGATATGCAAAAGGCCTCACCGGCACACAAACTTTGTGGTTTTGCCTTCTGTTTTGATGATGTTTTGAATTTCTTTGTTGTCAGTATACACACTTTTTTTGTTTTTGTGTGATCATTTTGTCTTCTTTTGGGATGTTGTGTCTCTTTGCAGTTCCTTTGCATCTCTGTCTTGAGTCTTTTTCTGGTCAGTAAATATTAAACAATAGTAATGTGAGTGACATTTTGCAGTACCTGTGCCAAGGCCTGTGCCCTGTTCGGTAATCCATCCGTGACTAATATGGCCGATTGCGCTCGTTGGGGCCCTCAGGGCAGTGATGGACGAGTGTTTCCATTACACCCCCCTTCAGTTTTGTCTCTTAGGTTATGGCTGGATCATTTCAATTTAGAGGGTCAGGTGTGCAGGGTCTGATGTTTTTGGGAGTTGAAAAAAAGTTGTGATCTCACTGTGACAGGTGGATTTTAGCATGACCATTGTTTGCACTGATGTATGCAGGCATGTAGGACTGGTATCAGAGTGAAGTCAGAGGCTCTCAAAGGGGACACAGACAAATTTTCAACGTAGCCTCCCTAGCATTTTTCCACTGGTATGTTGATGCTGCTGTTGCCAAGACAACGAGATTGAGTTCTGTGTTCCTCAGAGCCTGTAACTGTCACAGCCTCCACAATTAGTTTGGTTGTTCCATTGTCTGCCATTTCCGCAACAAGGTAGAGTAAGTGCAAAGAACTTTCATTGATACTCTTTAGTAGTAAGCTACAGGGGAAAACAAAAGCGTTATTTTCTTCCTGTTTTGGTTGCACAATGGTTGAAGCACTTCCTTTGTGCCTTAAATCGAGCCTTCGTTTTCCAGGAGATCACACCCAGCGGCAGACAGAGTTGCATAGCGAAAGCAAGGCTTGCAGGGAACCAATTTAAATGCTAATGCTGTCTTTATTCTATAGCCATTGCATTGTGCAATCAACTTTTACTCCATAATGATGAGGTAAAGATTAAAAAGTTTTTATTTCCACTTGAAATAGAAACACAATCTGCTATTTTTTTTCTTTTACATTTGTATCAACCTGTCAAATAACATGTTATGATGAAATTGGTTATTATGCTTTTCATGAAAATGATAGTGAAACTAAAACATTTAAATGTGGTGTAAATAGCTGCCTTATAAATGTATGAAACCTATTTGAAATTATATTTAGCTCCCTTGATAAATTTTACCACAAAAACAATTGTGCTTTGTAGGATTGATGTTCAAAGTGTTTCAAATTAATTTTGTCTTTCACATCCGAATTTTAACATGTCAAACTTGTTGGCCTAAATGTGTTTGTATTCTCTCTTTTTTTTTTTTTGTCTGAACCTCCTCAGTATGACTTCATTTTGGTCCAAGGTTCACTCAGCTCTCACTTTGAATACCAAATGCACTTTTAATGTGTGTCAGCAGCTAAACACTGTAATGGTATCTGCTCTATCATGTACGTCAAATTCAAATTGCATCTGCTTCTTGTTTGATAGTGATGAAACAGCACATGATGATGCTTTTTATTGGCATTTGCTGGACATTGAAAAAAATCCAATATTAACTTGTTTTTACGTAAAGTTTGACATTGTGTTACGACTTAATATCTAAACAGGCATTTATTATTATCCTGCTAGTAGAGATATAGGCGGCTTTGTAGTCATGGTGGCAGCTGGTTTTCTATCTGGTGGCAGCAAAGGTCAGCTGCAGCATCCAATTACTGAAAGTTGGCTGCTGCTGACCAACGAGATTTAAATGAGCTGCAACAATAATATTATTATTTGACGACCGGGTTGATCATTGTTTGTCTTCTGGGTTTGACTTTGTGACTGCTGTGCTGTGTAGCAGCCTCCTCTCTCCTCTCTAGTCTCAGGTGAACTGTATGGGTTTCCCTTCTCAATACAACACCCTTGGGGCTTACTCAGATCAGGCAGAGGTCTGCAACAGAAATGTAACACAGTAGAAACATAAAATAGAAAAAATAAAGCAGAGCATGATGCCCATGTGATGCTAACCTAACTGAAGCAGGTCTTTTGTCTCTGTAATTTGTTTATAGCCAGACTAATCATGTGTGGTAAGTCCTGTTCATTATGGCAGGACAGAAGGCAGTACAAGAATGTTTTTATTGTGGTTGTCTTTTGTCTCCCTCTGCAGGCCAGTGGCCGATATTGTGCAGGACATTTGTCAAGGGAACTGGCTCAGATTTGGAACAGGCAAACTAAAAGAGCTTTGTAAACTGCTGCCAGAAGAAAGTGAGGTAACACCAGCTCCACTCTTCTCATCTTTCCACTTGTATGCATGAAATAAGCTTCATGAACATTTAAGTGTCGTGGAAGAAGAACTTTTTAAGAAGAAGTCCTTATACTTGAGCACTTCGATTCCCTTTTGTTTCCTCCAGTTTAACCTTGTAAGATATATTTAATCAATATTGTGTGTATGCACAGGTGAAGCAGCTGCTGTCATTCAGTGGAAACCTCTCTGTGTTACCTGAGGCTGACCAGTTTATGGTGCAGCTGGTCAAAGTGCCAGGGTGAGTCTGGAGTTTCCCCAAAAGCCTTTTCGTTTTTGCTTCTTTATTGTTTGTTTACTTTTGTTTGTTTGTTTGTTTTTACAACATATCAAATCATGTTCACTCATTGAGAACACCTGAGCTCATATTTTTGGCCTCATCCTTATATCTTGTGGCTTAATAACTGGTGATAAAACTGATGTTCATGTTCATGTGTCTTGTCTTCAGCTATGAGGAACGCCTAAAAATGATGGTGCTGAGGGAGGAATTCTTTCCTCTTATGGAGGAGGTGAAGAACTCTGTTGCTGTCATGACCAAAGCAGCTAATGGTAAAATTTCATATGCATTCACTAAAGCTGCTAGCAAAAGCATATTTTTCCTCCTACCTGTAGTGCTATTTATCAGTGTAGATTGTTTTGGTGTGAGATGCAGAGTGTGTGGGTATTGTCTGTAGAGACATCTGCCTTCTCTCAAATATAATTGGAACCAGATGGCACTCAGCTTGTGGTGCTCAAAACATCAAAAAAAGTACATTTTATAATAATCCACAGACCTTGTTGTGAGCATTTTGATGTAGGAACTATTTTCTGTCTACCAAATTACACCCATTAACCATATCATCGCGCAGAAGGAAGCCTGCATCTACTGCTAGCACAGCTGAGCTAGCTAATGTCACAGCTCAGCCGATCAGCCATCTTGTATTGTCACAAACACAAGCCTCTCATCTATGAGTAGATGCACGCATACTCACAGTGTGGAATATGTTGAGTAATCGGGTCATGAGTTCTGGAAAGAGACATTGTAATTTTTTGGTGCATTAAGCACCACAAGCTGAATGCCATCGAGCTCCATTTTATTCAAGGGAAGGCAGACATAATTGTGGCTGATGTCTCCAACACCACTCACACACCAAAACAATCTAGATTGAAAAATACCACTACAGATAGAGGGAAAATATACATTTTTGATTTTGGGGTGAACTGTCCCTTTAAGGTTCTTTGTCTCCGTCTCTTTTGCTTCTCTTTCTATAGAGCTGTTGGACTGCGATGACCTCCACTCGGTCATTCGACTAGTATTAAAAGCCGGGAATTACATGAACGCTGTTGGTATTTTTCTTTTTAGAATTCTGTTTTTTAATACTTATTCTTTAATGTATTCTATCAAATGCATTTCAGCTGCCCCTTTTGCTTTTTACTCAGCATTTATCATACTGATGAATGGACCATTCGCATAATTTATTATTCAGGGTGGTTACAGTGCCAATGCCATTGGCTTCAGGATGACCTCTCTGCTCAACCTAGCAGACACCAAGGCCAACAAGCCTGGCATGAACCTCATGCACTACGTTGCCAAGGTGAGGAAAGTGGAATGAATGGATGAAAAAACAATCTGTGAAATCACGAAAAACCCTGCTATCATGCTTTGTTCATAAACAGTTATGTAACTGATTTATTCTCCTGCTCCGTCTCTTTATTCACTGTTGCCCTCTCTCCTTTATTCTTCACCCACAGCAAGCGGAGGACATCGATGCTGAGCTGCTGACTTTTCCCACCCAGCTTGAAAACATTGGCATGGGATCAAGGTGGGCATTATTGGTGTCTGTTGGTGATTTAACTGAACATGGTTTGCTCACTAACAGTAGCTTTAAATGTTGTCAAATCTATTTCAATCTGATGTTAAAGCTGGCTGGTTTGATAATTAATTTTGTATCATCTGGAATACGTCATGTGATTCAATTTAACACAGAATTTGTAAAGAGGACATCATCGCAGACTTTGAGAGGGAAGTCAAGAGGATCAAGGAAGTGAAACTGTTCAGCAGCAGACAGCCTGGTCTCTTACAACAAATGGAGACATTCCTCATGGTAAAGTTTCCCTGTGTTGTTTGGGCTCTTATTGTGCAAAACTGAGTTTGTGAATGCTTCAGTCAGTCTTCAGTCTGGATCCCTCTGCTTTATACCTGTAATGTTTTTCATTTTTTAGAGGGCCGAGGCGAAGCTGGCCGATGTGGAGTCCTCTCTTCAGGAGCTAAAGGCTGTGAGCGACGCCGTTGCTGAGTACTACTGTGAAGACCCAGCTACTTTCAAACTGGAGGAGTGCTGCTCCATCTTTCATTCATTCTGCAAGCGCTTTGACACAGCTGTTAAGGTCAGAACAGAAAGGATTTACGATAATACTTAAATGTGCTATAGAATAAACTACATAACGGAAAAAATACAGTTGTTATGTATTTAAAGGTATAGTTCACTCCCCAAACGATAATTTGTATTTGTGTAATCGCCCTGTGTTACCTTGAGTTTGTGAAGAAAATTTGTTTCTCTCACATTTCTCTATGATGAACGAAGAATCCAAATACGGAGAAAGTTCTTTGTGAATTAAAGTGATGGGGGGCCACTTTTAACATCAGCAAAACTATATCAAATCATCTGTTTACAAACTCGTACAGCTGGTGCAGTATAATCCAAGTCTCCAGGTGTATGCTCATTACTTCCCAAACACATGCATTTTTGCTAAAACCTTACCATTTAAAACACTTTAACGAAGACGATCTCATGCATAGATGAGTGCACCTGTGCTGTTTTAGTGGAAGTGTTTGGAAAATATGTGTTTGGAAAGTACTGAGCATTATACTGCAGGAGTTGTATGAGAGATGGTAAATAGGTGTTTTTATATACCTTTGCTTTTGTTAAATGATGCCCCCTATTATTTCAGTTCATAAAGAATTTTCACTGTTTTTGGATTCTTCGTTCACCATGGAGGTAGCCTGGAAATCCAGACACAAATCTAGAAAGATTTAGGGTCTGGCCATGAGTAATGCAAATGGCCCAACTCGAGGGGCAGCACCAAGCATGCATTTGAAAATATCACTGCACACAATTGGATAACACTACGACCAATCAGAACAATATACAGGGTGACGTATCCAGAGCACTACCAGCGGAGCTAACTGGTAGATTAGACTCTTGCCTTATCTTGTCGGCAAAACAGCAAAAACGTCCTTGCAAAGGAAAGATTGGAGTGCCGTCTTCTGTTCCTCTTTTAGAGAAAAAGCCAAGTCTAACTCGTTCATTGTAGCGGCCAAAGCTGTTTCAAACAACTGGTGTTCATCCGTAGCCATCTTGCAATGTTTACTGACTGATTCCGGACTTCGTCATCGCAGCGCTGTCGTCATCTGTTTAGCTTGCCTCTGGCCCGCCTATATCAGATACACCGATGTGATTGGTGCAGCTCGGTTTCATTGGCATAGGTAATGAGCATCATTACTGATTGCCAGAGTGACTCGCTGAGCAAATTCAAATTGCGCTCTCACGAGAACTCTGGATTTCCAGGGTACCATGGAGGCGTGAGAAAAACAAAGTTTTCATTACAAATGAATAGGTGAATGTTGAGTACTTCTCAGTTTCTACAAACATTGTCCTCTTGTCCCCTTGTGTCATTACTTTGCATTGTATGGTATTTAACTTAAATTTATTCTTCCTTGACATGGCTGTAGGAGAACCGAGAGCGAGAGGAAGCAGAGCAGAGACGCAAGCGAAAGGAGAGCATGCGTATTGTAGCCAAACGCCGCTCAACAGTGTCCCGCACAGGACCCGAGCCTGATCAGGACTCCTCCAGCTTGGAGTCGGTCTTGCACAGCTTTCTTTCCACCGTTCCAGAGGGAGTAAGCAGATGCAGAAAGAATACACTGCCTGCAATTGCAGGATCCCCATCTGAGTGCAGCTCTCAGACTGTTCCGTCAGTAGACAAAAATGAGGCTACGCCCAGTAATAGACAAGAGACACCTGAGAAGAAACAACCCAAATTGCAGAAAGAGGACAAGGAAATGGCAGAAGCAGAAAACAAAGAAGAAGCTGAGAAGATGCGTGAGATAACTCGGAAGGTGCTTCACTACCAAAATGGCAAAAGCAGCGCTGATGGGGACAGAGTGTCAGGCACTCCTCCTCGGTCTAAAGGAGCACAAGATACACCAGCAACCCCAAGTACCCCTCGCTCTACAACAAGAGACTTCTTATTTACCAACAATGGGGATGTCGGCTCCCCGTGGACTATCCTGAGCCCTTTTACTTGCTCCCCAAGAAACACTTCCCATCGAAACCGACAAGCACACCTACGCAGACAATCCTCAATGCCAGCTGGAGATGACCTTGATGATGGAGTCTGGGAGAGTGACAGAGGCAATTATCTCCCCAATTCTTCCAATCGGGACAATCAGACAACTTCATCTGGGGGTTCTGCGTCCCTTCCTGAGTGCCGCAGTCAGAGAGCTGTGTCGCAGGGTCCAATCCTCAGGTCTGCCTCCTTGGACGAAACCAGACGATCTCCAGCATTCCGGCTGGGAAACTTGTTCCAGAAAGGCACGTCTCAAAGGTCATACTCCTCTGGATCAACGACGGAAAGCATGAGAGAAGAAGGAGCAGGAGTCAGTTCACTGCTTGGCAGGAAGGCAGGGAATCAGGTCGAGGGTCAAGCGAGCACTTCTGGGTTCATATCCTTCTTCAGACGCATTGGAGGCAGAAATAAGACTGGTGATGTGGAGGAACAAAACATCAGAGGATCGAATACTTGATTCCAAATTTTATCTAGAGACAGAGTACAAGCTTTGTCATTTTTATGTGTTTGTTTGTCTATTTTTATTGTTAAGGTTTTACCCTTCAGTGAGCCCAAAGTAAAGGGGAACTTGCTTTGAACTGTGAAAGTTTTGATTTTGTGGGAGTCAAACCATATTCAGAAATCTTTTTTTTTTCTTTTTTGTCTTTTTCTGTGCAATAAAGGGTGTCATTCTACCTTTTAAATTTTACTTGTTTATGGATTATGCACTCAACATTTATTGTTTAATGCAATTCAGGTTGAAATGTCTCCTCTGTCAGCCTTTTTATGAAATCCTTGACAGTGACTGACTGGCACTAATGTCTCCTTAGTGACGCCTGCTCAGTTTCCAGTACTTGCCTTTCACGTCATCTATTATTTCTTCTCACTGTCAGTCTAGCTGCGAGGCAGTCGTTCAGGTAGCAGAGGCGCATTTTAACTTCTGGGCTTCTAACACATGTAGGATGTGAACAATCCTGAACACAAAAGCGACCAGATTGGAAATTCAGCCCATAGATACATTCATTTAAATGTCAGACTCCTAGCTGATGCTGTCATCACAACCGACAAGAAAATCTGAATAGGACACATTGTTGCTGGTGAACCCACGCTGGTATCCAGATGATCTGTTCTTCCACCACTGTGCCACCCTGGTGTCTCTGCCCAGCAGTGGCTGGGTTTTTTGGACAGAAAGAGAAGAAAGACGCATTCAGCTGTGTTACTTGGGCAACAGGGTTTGTTTACTGCCATTTCATTTGAGCTCTCTCAGTGTAATAATACTCTCTTGAACAAACTGCTCAATACAGGCTCCTTTCTGACTGTTCTGTTGTCCTCCCACGTCCATCCCTCCCACTGGCAAGTGCTCAATGGGGACATTTTCAGTCGCCTAGCACTTCAAATCAAGGGGCACAATGAATTGAATAAAACAGGAAATATATGGGCAGTTTCTGTGAAAATTAAAGTCTTTTGTCTTAGCTGTAAGCGTAAGCAAGGTCTCCTTCAAGGTTGCAGATCTTTGTAAGTCAAATAAAAGCTTGGCCTTGTACGCAAGCAGAGATAACAGTCTGGTACTGGGAGCTGAGTGCTACGTCAGCAGCGACTGACCTGTTTGGTGTCAAATGAGCGCCCCGGACTACAATCAGGCCATTGTGACAAAATGCTGAGTGCTTTTAAGGATCATCTCATGTGAGTCAACTCCTGAGGACTCGAGGTGACCTGTTGGCTCTCACCGGGGCTATGCTAAACAACGGTGTGTTCAGAATGTGTGTGTTGCAGTGAAAGATGAGAAACTTCAATAGAGAAGAGAAAGGAGGTGGGGTGGGGGGGAAACTTGGACCGAGTGAGAGAGGGAGGGAGACTTGCAAGTTGTATTGTGAGGAAGCATTTAAGCAGAGACGAGCATGTGAGGGGAGAGAGGAAGCCAGTGTCTTACAGACAGAAAGCACAAAAGGGAAATGCACAGGAGCAAGAACTAAGGTCAACAGATGAAAGGAGAAGCCTGTACAGTGACAATCCTGGACGCTTTTTAAATGTGGGAACTGCCAGCTGGACCGAAAAGGTATATTAATGCTGAACATGTTTTGGGAATGCATAACAGATCAGCTGATATGTTGTCAAGTGAACTCTTTGCTCTAAGTGAAATATCTCCATGTTTTTATTCTGTGTAAGCCTGAAGCAGGAAGCACTGAAACAAATTGGCTTGCAGGAAGTGTTTTGTTTTAAGAAATTACATTCCCTGCTCTTTGGTAACATGACAGAAGATCACACTGTGTGGAAACTTAATCCACCGTAGCTGCAGCTATGGGCATTAGACTGTTTACAAGTGTTGTAATCTGATTTGAGGTTGGAAGGGAAAACCATGGAGAATTCACTCGTGATGTGCTGAGATGTGTTCCCACAGTAGCATTTGAAATCACATTTTGGGTTGGTAGATGACACTCCATTAAAGTGTACTCTGTATATACATGAATGATGAACCTGTGACTACTGTGCGGTACAAAGTGTACTTTTAAAGCCTCATGTTCAGCCTTTGGAAATAGAGGCAACTTTATATTTTTGATTTACAGTGATTCCCTAAACATCTGTGCATTCCATTATGTTCTATGCATTTTTAAAGGTTACTGCTGATACTTATGATGGAACTTACATTGATAAAACATCGGGAAAAAGTAAAACTTGAAATAGAAAATAAGGTTTTATAAAAATTAACTAAATTAAATGATTGATGCGGAGTAAAACATCACATTTTACGCATGTGTATCTGAAATTTTGGGCCTATCTACTGAAATTGACGCTGTACTTTGAATAATCATGAAGCAAACCAGAGTCCTGGAGGGGAATTTTTGCATCAGCTGACACTTTCATTACGCATCAGCTGACACTTTTATTACGCATCATGCAAACTTTATATCAGTAATTCGATCAAATAATTGACCCCGACGTGATTTGAACACGCAACCTTCTGATCTGGAGTCAGACGCGCTACCGTTGCGCCACGAGGTCTTATAGTATCCTCTTGGAACAGCTGATTAATCACCACTTTGCGCAAACGTTCGTACGTCGTCTCCGTCTTCAGTTTGAGTAGGCCTTCACGACATGCGTTTCTCTGGCTAAACACAAGAAAATACGCATCTGAGTGTACATCCCAGATACTGTGTAAAGTGTAATGATTAGGCTGATAGTGTTTTTCTCTCAGGCGTTATCCGATTTGACTTTTACGCGTGCGTCATTAAGTTTACGCCTTCATTTTCAGACAAAAGAAGAGCAGAAGGTGAGATCACAGCGCTTCTTTGTCAGTTTTTTCTGCATGGTAATGAAAGTCTACGTCTCCATATAGCTCCATGCAGTAAATTGTTAGGATGCTGTGTAGGTGATGGGGCCCCCAGTCAGTCACTAGATGGTGCAATTTGTTGGTTTCTGATTTTTGGTACATCCACACACACATCCAACACAGAGCCCTGAAGGTCCTCCACAAAACAGTAAGTAAGTAAATGAAGTACAAGTTGTTCAATTTTGATAAATGTGATGCAACCTATAGGAGAATACATGTGACATACACTGTTCAAAAACACAAGAAACACTTAATGGTCAAAGAATTACGCCAAGTCAGTTAAACTCAATCTGAAGCACAAGTGATTCTGAATTAATTTCACCTGCTTTGGTGCAAATGAAAGTGACAACAGGTGCAAAGGAGAGGCAAAAGCAAGACAACCCTCACTGATTCTTCTTAAGTTTTGTGTTCTGCTCGGGCCTTTTTCACTACTGGTAGCATGAGGCAGTACCTGCAGCCCAATCTTGTGGCAGAGGTAGTCCAGCTCCTCCAGGATGGCACCTCCTTTTCTAACTGTCCAGGAGCTCACTGATGCCCTGATCCAGGTTTGGGAGGAGATCCCCCAGGACACTATCCACCGACTCATCAGGAACATGCCCAGATGTTGTCTGAAGTGTATACAAGCCAAACACACTACTAAGTCACATTATGAGGTGCTGTGATAAAATTTTATGCAAGTTGGATCAGCCTGTGATTTCAGTTTTTTACTTTGATGAGTCCAGGCCTTCATAGGTTGAAGATTTTGGTTTTCATCGACAGTTGTTATATAATTTTGTGCTCAACAAATTATACAATGTACATCAGGAAAGATTTTCAGCTTGAATAATTCGTTCATCAAGATCTGATGTGTGATTCAAGTGTTCCCTTTTTTTTTTTTTAGTAGTGTCGTTGTACACATTCATGGTCAAACTACACAATCAAAGAAGACATGGATGTGAATTCATTTGTGGTAACATTAAAAAGCAAAACCCACTTTTTAGAAACCTTGTGTTAAAAAAATATGTACTTTTTGTAATTCTGGTGCTTTCAGGTCTGTCTGTTAATCCCAGCTGTTTTCCACACAGGAAGAGAGGAGCATCTGGAGAATCTAGGATATTTAGCAGCTAACCTTCATAAGTGTCCAGCCTCCACATAGCAGAATGGATGGGTAAGTGCACGCATAAGATGTAAAATCTGTGGGGATTTTATCACACATTCTGCATTGTCTGTTGTTTGGCCCTGGCCATATGAAAAGGTAGTATCAGCAAACTGAAGCTGAGTGCCTTCCATAACTTACATTATTCTTTAGTTCTGTCTCAGGGTTTGTTGTCATCAATGAAACTGTAATCACATTCATCAGTGACCTTAAAATAGGGCGCTGATATTAATGTCCTTCCTGCTCCAGCTGTAGCTGCTCTGATTAGGATGCATGCTGTTTTCTGTCTACACTGATGAGATGGGCTTAAACGTCAGGGAGTTGGAGCTGCACAGGGCGCATTGATTAGCTGGGTAAATGTCACATTGTTGCCAGCAAGGTGAACGGATTGCGATGGCTGTCAATATTCATGTCTTTTCCATTCAGCTGTTGCTTTTATTACACCAAAGCCAGATTTCATTTCACTTAATCAAAATAAATTGCAGGAAGCCACCTAATTATGTTTACAGGGGTCAGACTGTGATGTTTGTGGTTTATCATCTGGGGGTTGGTTTGGTTAAGTCAATTGTTTAAGGTCACAGGAGCTTAGCAGTATGAGTTTAATTAAGCAGAAAGATGCGTGTGCCTCTCAGTTTGCGTTTGTTTTCTTACAACACTAGAAAGACCAGATTTAACAAGAAAATGGTGTGGCACTAATGTGTATTTATTGAGTTTGCAACCGCAATCTGTGTGTATCTAGCGCCTAATTTTAAATGAGTCATAACTTTTGCTGTCTGGAAACAGAATAATACATCCCCACACACACTGCAGCCAAAGCTTCATAGCTGCCTGATTCTCAGGATACTCTCCCACAACTAATACACATTGGACCACATTCACAGGGGTTTCGCCAGATCGTGAAACCCATCCTAGATATGAGCTACCACTTAGCTAAACGTCCACTCTCGTACAGCTAACGAGGAAGACTATTGAGTGGACATTTTGAGACAGAAGGAATGCTGTCAATGACACTGTACTTGAAACCATTTTACATCACACTTAAAGAGCAGCAGGCTCCACCCTCTACTCTCCTCGATAGGTAATACTCTCCTCCTATCACAAGCATGCTTTCACCAGAGACCGTTGATAAACTGAGATGGCCCACTTTAGATTCATTTCCTGTAACTGTATCACGAAGGTTTCACCACTGCCCTGTCCCTGTAAGAGATTAGGTGTGGCCCTGAGTCTATTCACTCCAATGGGAAAAGTGAATGCTGGTACAGATTATGACCGTTTCTTTCACTCTACTGTATAGTCACTTAAGTAAACACTGGACCCATTTTTCACGAGCCCCAACACCTCTAAACAGTCTGACAGTGAAATGGCATTTTCTTCAGACAGACATGTCTCTGTTTAAGCAACGTACTACTGCCAGATCTGGTAACAACTGATGTCATCTTACACTCAGTTAATATCAGATATTAAGCTAGCAGATACAGACAAGCAAACAAGGAACAACATTAAATTTGTACCATATATAGAGTTGTATTCATCAATCCACACAATGTTCACTACACTTCCAAATAAGAAGTGGGTATGCCGGGGAGAGACAACCACGCCCACTTAGGAGACCTGAAGTGCATGCCATTTTGTACCATTGGTGCAGCTTGTAAAGTGGTATCTTTTTTTATAGAGTATCTTTGCTTTCGGCCACTGAAACTTGCATTAACATAGCCAGCTAATCAGGACCAGCCTACCCCAATACATGGGTAAGACAGAGTATATAAGGGAATACCAAGATGCTGTCTGTCGTCCTTTTCTCCTCAGTGAAGGCAACTTGCTCACTAGTTGGGATGGGTGTGGCTGGGTCATCGTTATGGCATGACAGGGCATTCATTCATCCGGCTCTACCCACTGTACCCACAGAGTCTAGTAGAAGGTGAAGCCTGTGTGAGATCGAACAAAAGCTATGGTATTGTACCTCTAGTTCTGTTAGCACAGGTTGAGCACACTACCTAGGGGCCCTGTTGCTCCCACGTTGCTACTGAGGAGGGTGCTGACGGACAGCGTCAAAGTACTACCTTGTGAACTGTGTGGTCTGCACTTATTTAAGTAGGCATGTCCTGATTGGCTGGCTACGTTTATGTGGGTGAATGCATTCTCAGGATTGGAGTAGTAGAGGGTGGGGCCTGTGCTAACAGAACTAGGGTTACAATATCATAACCTTCGTGCTTGTTTCTGAGCATGAAGACTGTAGTTAAAGGACCGTGCCAGTGGTTTTACAAATTTTAGCCAGAAACCTGTAAATGATCTACTTCAAATCACTAGTGAGCATTTTCTCAAAGCGTACCAAACATTTTTATACAAATTACCCTCCTTCTTGATCCCCACCGTTTTCCATTCATTTACAGTCAACATATGCAGACTTTCTGAAACAAATAAACCATCACAGTTAAGATGTGCTCTATTTGAGGACTATATTCTACCAGTTTAAATATCTGGCTACCTAAATTAGCAAATGAATGCAATGACATGCAGCTGATGCTCAATGGTGCTGAATGGTGTCAAATCACTGAGCTAAATGTTCACTATGTCCAGTTCCTTACCTCTGGAGTCTGTCACACCGTCTGTCTATTTATCGGTGAATACACTGAGCACATTTTATTTATAGTGACGTAACTGTATTTATGAATCACATAGAGACAAGCTGAGACACCTGGTTGGAAGTGATGATGTAAGCTTTTCACACTGTATCTAAAGTCTAAAGAATATAAAAAAAATGTTGAAAGATGTTGTTAACACAGTTTCTACGTATTTTCAGAATATCCTGACATGAAGTGAAAGTAATGTCTGCCTGGAAGTTAATCTGAGAATATTATGCTTTGGAAAATGGTCAACCAGTGTGGTGTGAATGTATTGATTAACCACACATCACCTTTACTTCACCTTTTCTGCTCCAGCCATCACGTTATAACACTGTCCACACAGTCTACATTTATATGCAGACCATGCACGCTTTACACAGGCTGAAGAAGCATGTGATGATTTGTCATACATGTTGGTCAGACATACGTGTTTAAATATATTAAATGATACTATTTTCGGCGAATAATCCTCTTGCTGTATTCGGTCTATTTCTCTTCTGTCAGAAAATAGTTGTCTGCATGCTGAGTCAAAAACCTGTCTATACCTGGAGGGATTTCTAAACCTGCATAGAAACAAGCTTTTATGATTCGCTGGCCAGGGATGAGAAGCTAACTGGACTGTTTCAGAGAGAGAGAGAGAGAGAGAGAGAGAGAGGGAGAGAGCAGCCATCTGCGTGTTCTGCTGCACTGGATGCAGTCTCCATGGCAACATGGTGCTCCCGCAGCAAAATCCTGAGAAGACGGTTTGATCCCCACCCCCTTGCGCATGCACATAGGCATACTTGCAAGGAGGATGGTGCTCATGCCTCCGCTGTCCATACACACAGATTTTACAAACCCCACTCGCGCAGTGTTCCTGTCCAGACACTTGACTGTTTCATCCCCTCTTTGTATTTGTACTTTATCTACTACTGGCTCTAAATGATACCTGGCATTGTTGGTTATCCTTGGGAATAAGTTGAACACTGTGTCTCTCAACACCCATTTACTTTCTTAATTGTGTCTTTTTAAACAACTCCATCAGCGGCTGAATCTCCCTTTCAGGCTGAGCTCCACATTTTTCTACACAGTCGTCAATTATGATTGTTCCCAGCAGGATTTGGTCATTTATCTCTCTTGTTCCTCCTACCTTGCACCTACACTGTGTGTGTGTGTGTGTGTGTGTGTGTGTGTGAGGAGTGATAGACTGATTTTGATGTATCACACTGACTCAGTCGTTCAGTCACACAAAGCATCACCAATTTTCTGTTTGATAATTTGGGCTTTTCTCGTTCTCCTTACACATGCAATCAAAAAAGGGGGGGGCGGGGGGGAGAGGCAGGAGAGGTAAAGGAGAGTGAGGACAGGAATTAAAAAAAATTCCGTCTCTTTGTTGCCATCTCTCCTTCACTCTGCTCATCTCTCACACCATTGGTCAATCCAGCCCCCTCCCATTTTCACTCCAGCCAGTCAGCTCGTACAATCTCTCTGCATCTCTTGCCTCCCTAAGAGCTTCTCTCTGTCTCTCTCCCTCAGTCTCTTTCCCTCCCGCTCGCACACACGTACGTGCGTTAAAGACAGATCCTGATCACACTCTCTCACACACACACACACACACACACACACATACACACCCTTTTCAAGTCTCCCTCACTTGACTCTCTGTGTGAGGTGCTTTCTGCTCCGATGATGTCGGGTTTTGTGGATGGATATTGCTCCCTGTGGAGGAGAGCACGCTGAAACTTCCTTGTACCTCTCCTTCATCTGTCAGGAACCTGCTGTAAGTAAATCTCTCTCTTTCCGACGCTGTCTCTTTCATGCCATCCCCACTGTGTGCCATTCCTTCATCCTCTACTATTCTCCATCTCACAACCTTCTCCCCTTGGCAGAGGGTGCAAGCCTTTTCCCTCCTCTCACGTCTCCCTCTCTCCACTTCATCCCTCTCTCCTGTGTCCTCCCCTCCCTCCCGCTGGTGGACGCATACACCCAATGTTGTCTGTATGCAAACTAATGCCGCAGGCCATTTGCTGGCCTGTGATGGGTTTGTACTGTGCAGTATAACCTGAAAATATCTCCTGCTTGTGTTTTTGAGACACCCTCTGTGAGGCTGACCTGGCTGTGACTACAGATGAGTGGGGAGATAGGCTGCAGTTATCTGTGCTGGATAGGTGGTTTGGTGCTATTCTGATGTGATTGCAGACTCGGGGGCACTCTAAGTAATGATTTGTGGCTTGATGCAGCATGTTTTAAAAAAGAGCTTTGAGTGTTTGCATTGAGCATGTAATAGGAGCTTGTTTTTTGTGAGGAAATCAGCATTGCTTTCAGAATGCACATTTTTAAGTGCACTTTGATATAATTCACTGTATCCCACAAGGTGCATGTTTTCCTACAGTATGTCAGTCCTACAGGAAAAACCCTGGAAACTCCTTGGATAGTATCAATAATTCATTGACAGAGGTCTTAAAGCAGTTTTTGCTCAGTAAAGTTTGCCTTTACTCGGTCAGAAAAATGGGTTTCAGGAGGTTTAAACTTCATTCTCCACATGTTCGTCTCATGCTATAATCTAAAGACAGTTGATGATGCTACGACTTGAATAGCACTCCAACAAGACACACCACAGGGACTTAGCATGCACTCTTGCACATGTATGTGCAAAGAGGTTGGGATATTGAACAAGGGCATTTTTAAAAAGACCGAAATAGTGATCCAGGGGCACCTCTGGTCACTGCGGGGGGAAGCAAAGACAGGAATGTCCAGCTGGCATGGGAGGAATGTCACCGGAGCAGCATGGGAGGGGTGAGAGTCAGGCGAGGAGAGATGTAAACTTAACCACACACTGAATGATTAACTGAATGGCCGCCAACGCTGGATTTTCTGCTCCATTGTTGCCATAACTGTCACATATTTCTCTCTGGCTCGTTTCCATTGAGGTGTCGATGCTGTCATTGTCAGAGGGATGTTGCTATGCTTGGATTATCAGATCACTTGAAGCATATGCTGAATCAGGTATCCACCAACAGCCAGTTTTGTGTTGTATTACAGTAATGTGTGCAATTAAAAAATGTACTCTACCGTCATCTTGTATCTGACACCTGATACACACACATCTCTCTGTAAATGAATGAGACATAAAAGCAGACTTAGCATTGTGACAAATTGTGACCCCTGCAGTAATAACTCTGTTAGTCGTGACAGCTGTAACCCGTGTGTGTCTGTGTGTGTGAAGGTGTGCTACCCTCTTTGTCCTCCTCTCAGACTTGATCGGCTCTGAGGTGATCGTGTTGCCATGGGTAACAGCAACAGAATTCCTCCTCCACTCTGCATGGTCAGGCAAATGTTATTTGTGCAAATCTACATTTATGTAATTTTTTTTTTTTTCACACTGCTTTGATATGATTCCATCAGAGAGAGAGAGGAGGGGAAGGTCTTCATGACAAAGTTATGCTTTGGCACAGCGTCAAACAAGTTCAGCTCGGACTCATTAATTCAAACTGTGTGAAGTCTGAAGAAGAGAAAGACTTAGTAAAGCTAGAGGAGTTCCTCTGAGGGATGTTACGGCTTCAGATGGGAATTCTGTAAGAGTCTGGTCAGGTTAATTAATATTAGCCTCTGCTGTAAAAGCTGTGATGGCTTAGTGATGGCTAATGCGGTTTGAATGCCTTTTTATTTTATTTCAGTTTGTGTTGATTGACTCCGACTTTCCCACACCATGCTATAACTCAGTTTGTTAGTGTATCTCATGTAAAACTCAGACAGCAGAGTTAAAGTGTCCAAAAAGATCATTGTGTTTGGGTTGAAAGCTTAATTGTTCTATGATATGGTATCAGATTTGTCAGTTTCTATGTGCATTGTATTTACAATCATAGGTTTTAGTATACACATTTATGTACCTCGTGGGGGGGGGGCATGTGGTGAAAGCTTAGTGACTGAGCTGAGAGATGCAGTCATGACATGTTGGATATATTTAGATAGCTCCCTCAGGGAGGCTCAGTAATAGCACTGGCCATATTGTGTCATTTCTTGAGCATTTCATAAAACATCAGGAACACAAACAACTCTTGTTTTACAGTGTGGTCCGTTTCCAAATTCAGTTAAATATTTTATGAGAGCAAAACTGCTTTGGAGACCGATTACGCAGTCACAAAACTATAAATCTCAATACACCAGAAAGGTTATAGCGTGTTTTTCTTTCTTGTTTCAACCATTGTTGCCACTCTGCTTCTCTGTGTAATGTTTCTTCTTCATATTAGTGTTTTAGAGAAATTCTAATTTGCATGAAATTGGCATTTTTTGGTCATTTGGACACTGCACACTCTTTGATCAGAGACGCAACTGCCTATTTTCTGCCCAGGCTTGCAATTCTGACCTTTACACTAATGACATCGTAAATGTGTCTATTGATGCTTCAGTTCATTATAAGCTATGATCTAAAGGTCCAAAGAAGAAGGTATTCAGCATACCAATTGGCTTGATCTAGCACTGGCGTTTCCCTATCTGTGGCAGCAGAGAGGTGAGGCTACTGTTCTGCATATACAACTGAAGGATAGATTAGTTACACTCGCTGATCTGTTAAAACTGTGCACTATTGATGTTCCTGTGTTCACTGTCTTGATAGTAATCCTGGAAGCAGTCATGTGTTGGTTCATTACTTCTTGAAGGACACACACCCTCCCTCGTATGCACTGTGTGCATGTCAAGCGGGCCTGTTTCGATGTCAGTATTGGCACTGAGTGCTTCTGTTTGTGTGAAGAAATGACAGCCATAAAACTGGGTTCTCCTTACTGTATACCGCTCTATCCCAAGAATAGAAATGAGAGTCTGTGGTAGTAAAACGAATAGCCTAGTGATAAGGCAGATAAATCCTGTCACCATGCTGTAAGTGCAAATTAGGCAAAAGAGAAAAGCAACAGATTTGATTATTTGAAGCTTTCGAACTGAATTCTGTTTGGCAGAAATCTTGATGTGTTGTCTGTATGCATTGATATGCTTCTGTGGTAATGATGTGCAGCCAGAGTTGTGTGCACCTGCGTGTGTCTGTGTGTGTTCACGTGTGCTTGCATGCTGCTCGTGTGAGCCGTGTGTTAATATGTTGATACAGGCGGTTCCTGTGACACATTCCTGCCCAGCTAGGCTCAGATCGGGAGAGCTGATAATTTTAGCAGCGCTTATGTCAGTCAGTCAGTCCCGCTGTGTGTAGACAGCGAAGGGAAGGTACCACTCCTCGACATTTTGTCATCCACTACATCATCCTTGCCAGAGGGACTGTGCATGATAAATGTGTGTGTTGTAACGTGTTAGTCAGCGGACAGGCCTTACTGTTTGTCCACTCTGCCATCATAGCAGCAATCTGGTGTTTCAAGCAGACTGAATACAAGACAAGCAGGGTTGAATTTAGCAGCACAAATGTGTGGTCAGTACGTGATTTTTTTTTTTTTTTAGATAAAGGGAGCACTTGTGGCCTACAATCCAATGCAGTCCTGCAAAAAACACTACCTTTGTAAAGCCGTTGTGAGGTGTTGACTCAACTCAACGGTCATTTTAAGGCCTTATCTTACTGGACTGCGTTTTATAGGAGGGAGGTTCTGGTCTTTTTGTCCTCCAGGAGTGCAGTTAAGGCCACACTCCTAGTCCTCCTGGTTTATGTGCAGAGGTTGACAGACGTGCAAATCATAAATCCGCTGACCTATCAGCATGACGAACAAATGATGGAATTTCTAATCCCCTTAAGTAAATGAATTTCCACCCTGTTAGGAATCAAAGCCGTAATGCACATTTGTGTTTCAATGACAGGGTGTTTTTATGATGTGTAGCAGCGTAAAAACACCCTAAAAAAATAAATGAAAGTAATTCATGTCATGTTACATAATTATTTTTTATCTCTGGCATCCTTCGGCATGTTTGATTTTAGGGCATGTTTCTCTAGGATGTGAAGGGCATGTGAGCTAAAATGCCCATGGTTAAACGTTTTATTCTTCTGTTGTGATTGGTGTTCTGGATATTTGGCTCTTATATAACCCACATTTTTTACCTTTTTTCTCTCTAAAAACACCCAGATGTCGACAAACAAAAACTTCCCGCGTACCTGGATAAAAATACACTTACACACAAAGACATGTACGGTCTGTTAAACTTCGAGCCACCTGACACATCGTCACGGCCTGGGCTCCGTTTCGCCATGTGACGTGGAACTAGCTGTTTATGTTAATATATGTTTAGCTGAGGGCATCTATTCCCGCAGTTATTTAAAGAAACAAATTATTTCAGGATCAGCTCTTCTACCCTGTGGCACATGCTCCTCTTTCACTGAAATAATTCTCTCCGCTGGGAGACGGGGAGGGTTTGCTAAGATAAGAAAGAGGGTGAAGAATCTGTGCATCATGTAATATTCCCTTTGAATGTATTTGACTTCAAAATATTCGAGTATCTGAAATGTAAAATAAAAGCTGTTTTTTAAAATTATGCTTATACTGCTGTTTTACAGGCTTTACTAAAGGCTAATTCTGTTGATGCTCAGTGTTAAACACATGCAAGAATAATGAATGTCAAGTGAGTTTGTTTGATATTCATAACTAAGTACAGATAAGAGTGGAAAGAAAAAGACATGGCCCTTTTCCCCCAAATTTGGTCCCATACCAAGAGGTTGTGTCACAGTGAGAGTTTGCACACGAGATGTGAAGGAGGCTGTGTTTTCCTATCTGAGCCGCTCATGTATCAGTTTCTCAAGGCTCGGCAGAGTTGAGCTGCTGTTCTGATGTCTGCCTTGATGTTATTTGTGTCAAG